CACACACACACACACACACACACACACACACACACACTAGAGATTGAACCCAGGTCCTATGCACTGAGCTACATCTTCCACCCCCGCCCCTCCCTCCCATTTTATTTTGTTTTTTGTATTTTTGAGAGAGGGGCTCGTTAAGTCACTAACTTGCCCAGGCTAGGCTCAAGCTTGTCTTCTTCCTTAGCCTCCCAGAATACTGGGATTGCAGGCATGCATCATCACACTCAGCTGTTTATGTTTGACACAGAATCTTGCTCTGTTGCCCAGGCTGGTCTCAAATTGCTTGGCCTAAGTGATCCACCTGCCTCAGCCTTGCAAATAGGAAGAACTACCGGTGTGCACCACCCGGCTATCTATCAATGAGGTGTGTTTGAGCAAAATTAATACAGACTGTCTAAATGAATCAATTCAAATAGTATCAATTACATATAGACAATATCCATTCCTATATGTATGTATGTATTTAAATGTTAAGACTGTTTAAAAACTCTAAGGGGCAGAAATTAAGTACTGACCTTCCAGAAAACACACTGACATTTATGAAGCAACCTAAATACATTTTAAATTGTCTGAATAAAAACTTGAGACCTAACTTTTTATCTTTAGATATCTAACAAACACCATATATTCCTAAGCTATAGCTCTGGACCTCCAATTAAATGCTTAATGTTTTGCACGGCGGGGAGTGTTCTGGCCTAGGGATGGTCTTACGGGACTGACAAAACAGCCTGGCTTTGTTTTCCCTTCGGTCTGCATCCTAGAAAGTCCACTTCTCATGCTGTACTTTCCTCTTTTACCTGTTGTGCTACAAGGGGGAGCTTTATGAGAGGATATAACATAAGTATTTGGAGGATGGTAGTGCACAATAATAGCATAGAAGTATTTCTAGTCAATGAATCGCACAATTGGTCCTTGTAAGTTCATTCTTTCTTTGGTACGTTTATGTGTCCGTGTCAAAAATGGACATCTTTTAAAGCTTCAGATAGCACTGGAGATCATAAGTAGAATCCTAGTGTTTTAAAAAATATTTTCAATATGAATAAGGTAAAATTCATAATGTTAGTTGTTGTTTTTTTGTGTAGTGCTGAGGATGGAACCAAACCCAGGGAGCCAAGTGCTCACCAGGCTACATCATCAGGCTATAGCCCTGCTCTTGTTACTGCCCTTATAGTTAAGCAATTTTGCAAAGAAATGGAATTTATAATGTCCACTTTCAGATGCCAGTTGCAATCTTAACAGGTTCACAATTCAACATATTTAGCCATATGGCACACACCTGTAATCCTAGCATGTGGAAGGCTGAGGCAGGAAGATCACCTCAAGTTCAAGGCCAGTCTGGGCTACATAGTGAGTTCAAGACCAGCCTGAACTACATAGGAAAACCCTGTCTCAAAAAAACAAAACAAGAGTTCAGTATATTTCTGCTTTGCTATGAAACCAAGAATTTTTTGATCCCTATCTTTAATACTAGATATTTATGCCAAATTCTAATACAAGCTCTGGAGCTCGATGATCATTAAAGTTAACAGATATGGAATGCTTAAAGAAAAATCTAGTAAGCATATTTTCTGTTTTAGAAACTACAAAGGAAACAGTCCTACTCACTCCCCTGCACCCAGTCTCTTAGAGAAGGAACAACACGAGGCCACAGAACCATGGAAGAGAATCACTAGTTGTAGACCTTTGTGGCTAAGGTCTGGGTTTGCTTTGTTCTGTGCCCACAGGTGTGTGCCATAGGTTATGTGCCTTTGAGGTTCAGCCGTCAGGGATCACCTGGTGTCACTAAGTGTCTGTTGGTGCTGGGACTTGCTGCTTGCCTTCTTGCCATGTCCAACGAAGTAGAAACAAGTGCAACCAATGGTCAGCCGGACCAACCGGCTGCACCAAAAGCACCATCGAAGAAGGAAAAGAAGAAAGGTATGGAACAAAATCCTCTTGGGATCACTACAGGGAAGTAGAAGCTGTTACTTCTGGAGAAATATGATGTTTCGGGTAAAGTACGAGCTGACTCCTGCCTGGCCATGACATTAGCTTAGCCGCAAGCTCTCCTAAACCAGAAAGTTGGACTTAACTTTGACAGAAAAGATTGGTTAACCCCACATGTAATAAGATTTATCTCTGAATCTGTGATGACACCAACTTAGGTTCCGCTGGGAAACTTGCATAGCATCTAGTTCAGCTAGTAATAATACCATTGATTACATATGGTTATCTTCCCATAATCTATTTACTTCTTTTTTAATTAAAATCACCATTTTTTAAAAATAAAGATCTTTTTCATGAGACCCTTTTCTTTTGATGTGCGGTACCAGTAGGAAGTGGCAGAGACCTTACTGACTCAGAGTGAAGGAACATGCTACACTGTGCTTGCTTCTCATTAAGACTCTCGAGCTCTGGGAACAGAGCTGCACAGGCCCGAAGGAAGTCACAAAAATTCACTCACAATTGCCTTCTGCATAACCAGTAGCTCAAAATGTTAGTAAATTGTGTGCTTGCTAATTTTTTCTTTCATTAAAAAATACATGTCCTCTTGTTTACATACCTTAAGAAAGCTTTGATGAAGCCTATCCCCAAATCCCACTTCACATATTCCCGTGAATTTGCCATAGTCAATTTTGTATCTCCGTGACCACTCCATATTCAATATTACAGAGCATGATTTTGCTCAAAAGCAGTAAGAATAAAACAGGGTAGAACATTCCATGTATGGTCACTTGCAGTATGATCAAGATTTATACTACTGAATTTTTGAAGATTTGGAGCACGTTTAGCTTTTCCTAGGACTGGTATCTAAATATAAACTTTACCCTGTATATTTCTCTCTTCTCAGGCTCTGAAAAGACAGATGAGTATCTTTTGGCCAGGTTCAAAGGTGATGGTGTAAAATACAAGGGCAAGCTAATTGGTATTGATGATGTGCCAGATGCAAGAGGGGATAAAATGAGCCAAGATTCTATGATGAAACTCAAGGTAAAAGAATACTTTATCTGTATCTTAAGCCTAGGTCCAAAAGAGGGAAGCTCTTTTTTTTCCAGTACCAGGGATTGAACTCAGGACCTTGCACTTTCCAGGCAGACATGGTGCCACTGAGCTAAATCCCCAGCCTTGGAAGCTCTTTTATAACCTATATCTCAGATATTTGAAAAACTGTTCTAATTTCAATTGATTCAGTCGTGTCTTGTTTTCTTTTCTTTTTTTTTTTTTTCGTGTCTTGTTTTCTGAGAAGCCATGAGTGTGCATATTTCAGGTACTATTCTAGAGACCTAATCTAATGGAGGCTAACAGGACTCTAGATGACTTCTCATTTTGGCAGACTCAACAGTTGGATGAACCAAGCCTATCCATACAGTTCCCCTCATTCAATAACTGTAAAAGTTCTGTGCAATTATATACATTGTCATTCATTTTATAGGTCACCTGGAAAACACTGTTTTTAGTCAAAAAATGTTCAGGTAAAATTCAGGACTCCACTTGGACTCTGGTTTTCTTTATTGTTAGCCTTTTCATGTTTTGAATTTTTTTAACTTCAGTATTATTATGTGAACCTCATTAATAAGTAATTCTCATTAAACAATACAAGGTTTAGCAGGAACATCTTTAGAGTTCTTCTAATCCACCCCCTTATCTCTACTGATGACTATTCTGAGGCCATGAGAATTAGGTGACGTGTTCTAGTCTGTACTGCTAACTATGGAATGTCTTGCTCAATGTTTTCTGTTATCCCTGATAAAAGGTATCTGATCTTCTCATAGATGGCAAACCAAGCTGAAAACAGAGCTATCTTTAAAATTTTTAGTACTAGAAACATTGTAAGATATTTAATTAGATTTTTCTTGCTTTCCCAATCTCACCAGGGCATGGCAGCAGCTGGTCGTTCTCAGGGACAACACAAACAGAAGATCTGGGTCAACATTTCCCTTTCTGGGATAAAAATAATTGATGAGAAAACTGGGGTAAGAATTGACATTCAGTGATGTTGAACATTTTTTCATGTATTTATTTGCTGTTTCTACTTCATCTGACAAGTGTGTATTCATCACAGATGTCCATCTTTGGATTGGTCTTTAAATTTGGGTGGACTGATTTTTTTTTCAATTCTTTATATGTTCTAG